GACTATTAGCAATACTCCCATTTGTAACTCACCATAATGTATGTTCGACTCTATGAACATCCCTGTGAGATTGTGCAAGAATTACTCAAATCCTTGTCTATTTTCCCAACAAATCCACAAACTCCCTGAGGTGGAGATAATATCACATTTACCTCTACATCCCCTCAGTGACCAGAATATTCAGATTTTATTTTATTTTTTAATGTTTATTTATTTTAGAGAGAGAGAGAGACAGCATGTGCAGGGGAGGGAGAGAGAGGGAGACACAGAATCCAAAACAGGCTCCAGGCTCTGAGCTGTCAGCACAGAGCCTGACACAGGGCTGAAACCCACAAACTCTGAGATCATGATCAGAGCCTAAGTAGGGTGCTTAACCGACTAAACCACCCAGGTGCCCCTGGAGATTTTAAATAAACACCAGATGAATAAAAGAACTAAGTAGATCAATAAACTAACTAATGAATTAATCAGAAATAGTAGGAAGTTCTATAGATCTAGAAGCCAAGAACTGTGTCTTCTAGCTTTTCATCATTATAGGTTTTGTTTTAGTATTATTATCATTATTTTTTTAATACTTATTTAGCTAATCTCTATACCCAATGTGGGGCTCGTACTCATGACCCTGAGATCAAGAGTTACAAGAACTTATGACCCCAAGATCGAGAGTTGCATGCTCTTCCAAATGAGAAAGCCAGGTATCTCTCCCTTTTAAAAAATATTTATTTTAGTATTATTTTTATTTTTTTAAGTTTTATTTATTTATTTCAAGAGAAAGAGTGAGAAGGGAAGCGGCAGAGAGAGAGATCCCAAGAAGTCTCCGCACTGCCAGGGCGGAGCTTGATGCACAGCTTGAACTTACCAACCCCAAGATCACGACTTAAGCTAAAACCAAGAGTCAGTGGCTTAACCTTAATACTGAGCCACCCAGGCACCATTTAGTATTGTTTTTCAATACAAACTTTTTTCAATTTATGTACAGTAATTTTTTGGCATAAAGTTCTAAATTTTTAATTTTAAAATTAAATATATGGACTTATGTAAACACCAACACGGGTTGCCAAACATTTACATAGCCCTGAAAAATTCCTCATGCTGCCTTCTTGTCAAATACCACCCTGGAAATCACTGATCTATTTCCCCATTGCTACAGTTTTGCACTTTCTATAGGACCATATAAATGGAATCTTATAGTATGTAACCTTTTGAGACTAGCTTATTTCACTCAGTATAATGCCTTTGAAATTCATCCATGTTCTTTTTACAGATGTACCATAGCTCTGCTTATCCATTCATCCATTCAAGGATATTTAGGTTATTTCCATTTGGGGGTGATTATTAGTAAATCTGCTACAGATAGTTGTCTATAGGTTTCTTTGTGAATTTTGGCAGGTAAATATGTAGGAGTGGGATTTCTGAATCATAAGGTGTGTGTAAATTTATAAGAAGTTGCCAAAATGCTTTTCCAGAGTGGTGACACCACTTTACGTCCCCACTAGGAATATATGAGAACTCCAATGGCTTTACACCTTTGTCAGCACTTAATATTATCAATTTTGTTTATTTTAGTAATTCCAATAGGTGTGTAATGATATCTCATTATGTTTTGAATTTGCACTTCCCTAATGTATAATGATGTTGAGCATCATTTGATGTGCTTATTTGTCATCCTTATATTTCTCTGGTAAATAGTCTATTCAAACTTTTGCCTCTTTTAAAAAAAAATGCATTGTTTCTTATTGTTACATTTTCAATGCTCTGATCACAAATCCTTTGTTAAATACATAATTTGCAAATATTTTTTTCCTAGTATCTTCATTGTGTCTTTGGCAGAGCAAATACATGTTTTAAATTTTGAAATCCCTTTATCAATTCTTTGTCAATTTTGTTCTTGATGCCAAACCAGAGTCATGGAGATTTTCTCTTATTTTTTTCTATATTGTTTACAATTTTATATTTTACAGTTAAATTATAACAGTATATTTATATATTCAAATATATATCAAAAATTATATTTTACATTTTGAGTTAAATTTTGTGTAAGTTGTGAATCATAGGTTGAAGTTCAGTTTTCCCCATATGGCTTTCCAATATTTTCCAACACCATTTGTTAAAAATAACATGCTTTCTCCACTGAATTCATTGTCCCTTGCAACTTTGCTCAATTTATTTATTAGTTGCAGGAACTTTTTATTTTTGTAGATTTCTTGGGATATTCTACATAGACAATTATGTCAATGAGAATGTTAATAGTTTTAATTTTTCTTTTGCAATCTATATGAATTACATTTCATTTTTCTTCCTTTATTGCACAGGCTAGGACTTTCAGCTTGATGCTGAATACGTGTGTTAAGAATAAACACCCTTTCCTTTTTCCTGCTCTTAATGGGGAAACCATTCAGTATCTCATAATGAAATATAATGTTAATTGTAGGTCTTCTGTAGATGTCCTTTGTTGTAAGTTCTCTTCCATTTCTAGTAGGTTGAGAGTTTTGTGCTTTAGTTTTTATATCATTTGCTACCTGTGTAAATTTGGGCAAACTTTAGTCCAGACTACTACATCACAAAAAAGAAATAAAATACATGCTTAATGTAATGATTAAAAGATAGAGATGTGTGTGTCCCTGTAAATGTATGAGTAAGAAGGCCCGCACCACTCAGCAGAAAGGAAAAGCATCAGGCATTTCATTAACATATGAAAAATACAATATCTCCAGGTTAATGCAGTCTTGTTATATGCATTTTATGAATAAACATAGATTGGAGCCAATCAGAAGAGATTACTGAAAAATTGATTTTAAGAAACCTAAAAAATGGAACAGAATATATACTATATTTAATGTAAGTGTGGCACATGACATTCATCCCTGTTATACTTGTTTGCCTTTTTCAATTCTTCACAATAGGCCAGAAACTATTCTATGCCTTTTGGCATTTTTAATCTCATAAAATTTTGTGGCAGGACTGCACCACAGGCCTTATCCAAATTTGGATCAGAATTCTTAAACTTTCAGAAAATAGGTTTAAGCTTAATGTAAGAAATTATCTTAATAAAACAAAACATGGGAGCTGCCCAGGAGTCGAAAAGGATGTGCCTCATTAAGCCTGAAATCAGGGAACCTGAGGATACGCTGTCAGTTTTCAGGGATGGCGTTCCTATGGCAAGCAGTAGGTTAGACAGTCTTACAAAGTGTTCCCAACTCTAAAATACTACAACCAGCACAGATCACATCTCAAGCATAAAAAGGTTAAAGGAGGGATGTGTGGGTGGCTCAGCTGGTTAAGTGTCCAACTCTTGATTTTCAGCTCAGGTCATGATCTCATGGTTTGTGAGTTTGAGCCCAGTGCTAGGCTCGGTGCTAACAGAGAGCAGCCTGCCTGGGATAGGATATGGGATAGGAACTGCAACAAAAACTAGCCTCGACGTCATCTCAGGCTATTTTCTGCTCTTTTCCTGCTGCCCTATTCTTCCCTTACACCCGTACATCTCACTCTTCCCCTAGCTTCGTTCTCAGCAATGAGAGTCAGATAATATAATTTTGAATCTGCTACTCTTATGATAAGTGAATTTGAGTATGTGGCATTATTTTCTTAAATCTTAAATTGCTTTTCTGTTAAAAACAAACAAACTTTTTTTTAAAGGATCATCCCTCATCCTTGCCTGCTTCAGAAACTTACATTTATTCAAGGACCAAATTACACATGAAGGAAGGAAGGAAGGAAGGGAGGAAAGAAGGAAGGAAGGAGGGAAGAAGAACAGAAAGAAAAAATCAAGTACTCAGCAGAATGCCAAACATATAGTAACAAATACTGGCTGTCTTCTAAGTCTTTTAAAAATAAAACAAAGCAAATGAAATATTCCCCCAAAATGCATGTTTCTGGCATGCCTCTGTGTTTGGCATCAAAAAAAGTAGATTTCTCAGGGACAAAGCACATACAGTTTTATTTAATATATTCTAAATGACAATGCAACACCCACAGTCAGGTCAAAACTGACCCTCCTTACATCTCTACCTTTTATAATTTCTATAATATCCCTCTCCACTTGGTCAGCCTATAACCATGTAAGGTGAGGAGGGCAAGAATGAGTATTCTCAGATAGTGGAGGATGTAGCACAGAGATCAGAGGAGGTTTCCCCAGCCTCATGGCTAGTGGATGGAAGAACCCAGGACCCCACTCACAAGCTGGTGCCTGTTCCACTGAATTCCTCCATCACTACTATTTCCATAGATCATTTGGCTCTATTATTGACCTAGGCTAATTATATTTTCATCTCTTTCATTTATATCATATATTTTCACATTTCATATGTTTTTAAGTTGATTTTCTTGGGTAAAGAAGAGCCTTTTCATAATATGATCAACTCTGGGAACAGTAAAATGCTTAAGCAATACAAAATGATAACGTTATCAATTTCAGTGTAAGACACACGCAGGTGCATGGTGTGCAAAGAGGTCACGTTTTCAAGATCTTGGGATTCCATTGCTCATTTGTAGGGACAACAAACAGAAACAGTTTGCCCAGGACTATATTTCAGGGCCTAGAACAATGCCTGGCACATAGTAGCCTGTCCCTACATATTTGTAGAATGAATGAATATACTGTTTTGAAAAAATTGTCCAGTGACTTTTTTGGGTAAGCTTGACTATATGAAGGGTTCATTTTTAAAGCTGGCAGCCCCAGTAATTCACCCTGTGAATGCAAAATACCCTGATGAGCTATGGACATTCCTATTCGGATTACACTGAAGATGTCAGGAAATTACCAACAGGAGCCTCAAAATTCATCACATTAACTCACAGCCCCAGAAAATTCATTCCTGAGGGTGTATTTCAGTGAAACATCTCCCGCGGGACCAGAGGCCTCTCCCCTATTCTGAAACATAGGATGGATATGGCAGTAATGGAGTTTTCATCTTCCCAAGCCATTAAAGTGCAAATTAGGGGAGGGGAGACCTGCAGGCAGATCTCCCCTGGCCTAGCCTCCAGGCCGAAGCACTCACATCCATCCGCAGTCCGCACCTCCATGTGCACCAGGTCCGCCTCCTTATCCAATCCGGCCACCGACCTGGGGAAGGAAGGAGAGACAGTGACCACATGGAAGGCAGATGACAAAGTGAGAAACCATTCACTTTCCAAATAGCCAGCTATTGGAAAGCCACTAAGAACTATTATTTGGAAAGCCACTTTCTCAAGAGGGCCTCAGCTGCATTGTGGGGACCTAGAGAGTACGGCCACTGGGAATCTGGCAGATACAGCTGTCACCTGCAATGGTCACAACTCAAGTCCTGGAATGGCATCAGGGAGTTGGTGATTCTCAAACAACAACAACAACAACAACAACAACATAAAAGTACAGAGTCCATAGTAATATAGGTCTAAATCTCTGGCCTTGCCTCTTCTCCATCATCTGGCACCTAAGAAGTTCTCTCTTCCCTACTTTCCTCCTTCTCCCCTTACACCCAGTCTTGCCACACAGGATTCCTTCCAGCACTTTCTCCCCCTTTTCTTCCCACTGGGAGTATGCTGTTCCCTACCCTGATCTGTCCTCTTCTGATTGAGGGTGGTTAACCTCCACTCAGGCTGTTTACTTCAGGGCACTGTTGCCCTCCTGAGTTTGGAGCTATCTGCCCTTCTTTCCTCCTGCCCCGGAAACAAAAAAATGTTTGGTGACACACATTTAAAATCTATTCTGACAAGAACAAAATTCTCTTAGTGATCAGAGTGGGAAACCTTAAAGGTCTATGGCCAATAGCCAAAAGAAGGCAGGCTGAGAATCCTGACAAACTAATCCTTGTGGGCCTTCGACCTTCCACACATAAAGCCCAGTCAGCCATCTCCCACATGGGGTATCCAGGGTACCCGATGACCCAAAAAGTCGGCTAAAAGAGGCACAAATACATTAAAATATTCATGCAGTAAAGAGATCACATAATTCACTCTCTCCAGCAAGTTCTTAGTCAGTCTATTTACTCTTATTTTAAATATCATTGTAAGATGGGCTTTCTGGTTTTCCAGTCTTCAACAGGTAAGAAGTGGCACATTAGAAACAAAAGGAAGAATTTAAAATAGAAGGGCACTGGGTGGCTCAGTTGGTTGAGTGTCTGACTCTAGATTGCAGTTAATGTCATGATCCTAGGGTCATGGGTTCAAGCTCTGTGTGGAGCAGGGAACCTGCCTGTATTTTCTCTCTCCCTTTCCTTCTGCCCCTCTTCCCTGCTTCTGCTCTCTCTCTCTCTCAATAAATAATAAAAAATAAAATAGAAATTTAAAAGAGTGAGAATCAACTGATACCCAGACAGCAAGAAAAATAGAAAAACCTATGAAAAACAGACCTAAGAAGTCAAAACCCAATCTTTCACACCATAAATCTCTATGCTTCTCCCTCACCCTTGGGCCATTACTCTATTAGAGCAGAGCTCAGTCTGACATCTATGCTAAAGGGAGAAAGTTGCAGAAAACAAGAAGCAAGGGGGAAAGTGGCATCAGTACACTCTGCTTAAGAAAGTAGGCTGCAAATGATATATGTTAGGAAAAATAAAATGACTTCTATTTTTTTTTCAAATGATTATGTTTTGAATGGCTAAACTTGTTATTTAACAATCTCATTTATGATGATTAAAATACTAGGTTTTAGTTTTTGCTCACCTCAGTTGATCCTAAGGGAGACTCCTAAGGTAAAGAGAGCAGGTATCATTAGCTGCTTTGACAAAATGGGAAACTGAGGCACAGCAAAGTTGATGTTTGTCTAAGGTCACAAAGGGATGAGGCCAGAACTAGAAAGACTTACTGACTCCTCAGCCAAGAACAAGCCCTGTCTTCTTGGCTCTTCTCCCTTTTGCTTGTCATGTCCTTCATATCCAATGGTTTCCTCATCCCCTTTCTTCTCCAGCTAACTCTTGCCCTTCCTTCAAAGCTCACTTGGCTCACCCCTCCGGCAGCCCTTCTACTCTTCATGTTGCTGAAGAGCCCTCTGTCTGCTTCCATAGCATCCTTACCTTGGTGGTTCTCAATGTTGGCTGCTCATGAGAGCCACTGGAGGAGCTTTGAAATATCTGGATGCCTAGGCCCCTCCTGAAACCAGTGAAATCAAAATCTTTGGGGATAATGAGAAGAAAAGCTAGTAAAAACAAGATAAAAGGCGCCAGGCAGATGTCAAAGGCTGGATACTCCCCTTGTATGCTTTTGGCTTCTGTAATCTTGCTTGCCTCCTGTGTCCACCAACTGCCCAGACGGCACCACTGATAAGTCCTCCCTCCCCTTTTTCTTTTGTCTCTCAACCCCCTACCATCCCAGCCATAAAAGAAGGCTGATGCCAAGGTTCGGGGTTCAGCCTTTGGAGGTGACTCCACTGAGTCAGCACTGGTGCACAATAAATAGTCTTTTCCTGATTCCCCGAATGTCTGTAGCTTGTCTCTTCCTGGGCACCAAAGATTTGGTATAACAATAAGATGATGGCATTGGTATTTCTTTTAAAGCTCCCAAGTGACTTCCATGTATAGCCAAGTGTTAGTGCCCACTGCTTTGCATGGCTCAATCACGTCACTTACGTCATTACACTTGCCTGGTGTACTTGGATATAAATTTTAACAAAGTAGGATCCTATCTATTTATCTTGGAATCCTTGGCACTTATGTACCTAGTATATATCAGGGGCTACCAATGTGTTTATTAAATTGATATATTATTGAATTAATAAGCAATCCAATTTACTACGATAATGCCAAAATTTCAATGTGACACTCACTTGAGGTCATACAGAGGGCTGAGGGTATCAGAATGGACTTTATGGATACCTGCTCTGTTTCAATTTCCTTGTTTCTTTATAATCAAGTTAGTATTGTCAGGATAAGAAGATTCTCAGGTATTATTTTTCTATTATCCTCCAAGGTCAATGGCCAGGTAGAATGGGCAGAATTGGTATCTGGTTTACAATGACTAAGCCTAACTGGTTATCAAGTGCTATCCTCTATAACAAAAGAAAAGCCCTTGTCTGGTAGGAGATTAAAACAATGTGGTAGGAGATTAAAACAATGCAAACACCAGCAATAAAAAACCAGAAACCATTCCTTCATCCAGGATTGCTCACTCCCTTCCATCTATCTAAACTCTTTTCTTTAAGGCTGAGACTGAATCACATCCTCCTGGAAGCTTTCCCTGGTCACTCTAGCTCACATTGATTTCACTCCTTTGGACTTCTACAGAATTCAGAATCTGGATCAAATATTCTCCAGCACTTGTATTTTGATTAAGATTCTGTTTCCCTAGAGTGGATCCCTGCAGTCTTGGCTATCTTAGTACCCCTCTAACCCTTCCACCTTTTACAGAACTATTCTACCCAACTTATACCATGTGCTTTGTCCTTGGTCATCAATTATAATAGCCCATCCATCTGAACCCCCAGGATGGTATACAGTCCTGCATGGCCATGAGGCATCTTGGCTGTGGTAATTAGAACATCTCAGAACAACTTAGAGGACTTCCTCAGAATTTCTCTAACTGGAGCTGGTAAGAAAGAATTACCTTTCTTCTCTACTCACCAGGTCAATACTGTTGAGAGAAATTTTTCTAGCTGATAGGGAGACTAGGTCTAAAGGAATGATCTGGTTATAATAGAGAAAGAATCAGCATTGTGACAAGGAATCTCATAGAGAGATAGGGAGAGAAAGGGTGATATGAGGATAGTGGTTGAGAGACAGACATTCAGAAAGAAACAGAGAGAATAGACCTAAATGGCAACATAGGAGACTCCTGAGTACCCTTCTTCCCAGACATACACTGAGTATGGGTATATAAGGAGCAAGTCTCTAGAAACTAGCTGAGTGACTCCCACACACTGGAGGAATGAGAAAATATCCACACTAAAATGGGGAGAAAAGGCTAAGATGAACTCTCACCATGAACCCCAACTCTGGCATAGTGCGACATAATCAAGAACAAAGGGTTTGGCCTCCACATTTAGCATCACGACTTTTAAGGCTTCCATCAGAAGGATGGGCCCCCCAAATACCTAGCTCTGGAAAGCAATGGAGCTTGTGTCCAGGAGACTATAGCAAACAAAGAAGCAATTCTTAATGTGTTCAAGAGCAATCATTGCAGCTATTGCCCTAGGGCTCAGTGCACCTTCTCCTAGTCTTTCCCTGAAAGTCGATTAACTGCATACCTTAAAAGCTGCTGCCTGAGGGCTAGACTTCTAATTTATCAGACTTTGAGGGGCTTTGATTCTCTCCAGGGATTGAGGAAGCCCACTGATACCTCACCCATCCTCTCCCTGTAGCCCATTCCAAGTTGCCAGTAGCTCCCTGGAAGAAACTGTGATCACACATGACCACACCCCAGCTTTTAGGGTTGCTGCCCAGGGGGATGGGTGCCCAGATCACTGGGCTCTGACAGCCAACAGGTCCTCATTCGTGAGTCCCAGAGGACTGTAGCAAACAAAGAAGCACTTCTTAACCATCTACTTCCCCAAGGTTCAGTGCAGAGGAAGCAGGTCCAAAATACCCATCTCCTACTCTTTACCTGAAAGGGATATATTTGCCTACCTTAAAGGCTACTGACTGAGGGCCAGGCTTCTAATTTAGCAGGCATCTGAGAACCATCTTCCAAAGACTGGGGAAGCTGGCAGATACTTCTACAATCTACCTCAAGCCTGCTCCAATAATTGAAGTCACCAGTATCTCCATGAAAGGGAGTTATGGCACCTCAGCTCTTGCAGCTGTCACAGGAGAGATAGGCCCCTGGATCACCTGGCACTAGTAGTAAATGGGTCTTGCAATCATGAGGCACTAAGGACTGTAGCAAGCAAAGAAATAATTATTAATGGGCATAGCAGCACCCCTACTCCCTGAAGCTATACACCTGGGCCCAGAACTGAGGGAGCTGGAAAAAAGGCTCTCCCAGTTTCTCCCTGGAAGTGGCTTATCTACATATTCTCCCAGCTTGTGCCTCAGGATCCAACTTCTAATAAGCCTGTATCTAGACACTAACTGCAATCTTCACCTTTGAGACACTGACAAGTCTCGGGACACTCATAACTACCAAAAGCCACTAAGAACAAAGAAGGAGGCC